AAAATCAATTAAAATACAATATAAAAACAGTATTAAATAATTAATAAATTTCAAGAATGATGAGATTGGCAAATAGCTCAGGGAGTGACATCAGGATGCCAGCCACCCTCAGGATTGATTAAAACTCTTCTCACCCCATATAAGCTGCAGAGCCAGGTCTTAAATCCTTTCCAGAAAACTGGGAGGGTAGGGGCCTGCCGCACCTCTGGGGGGAGAATATTCCAAAGGGCACGGGCAATGGCAGAAAAGGCTCTCCTCCTGCACCCTGCCAGCCAACATTTTCTCACTGACAGGATCTGCAACATGCTTCTCTGCCTGACCATGTGGGATGGGTTGATGTGATGGGGGTGAGACGGTCCCTCAGGTAATCTGGACCCATGCCATGTAGGGCTTTAAAGGTGATAACCAAAACTTGAATTGGACCTGGAAGCAAACTGGCACCCAATGCAGTTCCCGCAGCAAAGGTGTTATATGCGCTATCCTTGGGGCAGCCAAGATGGTCCACATGGCCGCATTTTGAACCAGCTGTAGCTTCTGGATATTCTTCAAGGGTAGCCCCATGTAGATCACACTGCAATAGTCTAACTGAGAGATGATCAGGGTATGAGTGACTGACTGGAGAGCCTCCTGATCCAGGAAAGGGCGTAACTGGTGCACCACACGAAGGTGGGCAAAGGCCCTCCTGGCCACGACTGCCACCTGCTCAAGCAGGAGTCGTGAGTCCAGGAGAATCCCCAGATTATGCATCAGGTCTGTCTGGGGCAGTGCAACCCCGTCCAACATATATAAAGCCAACTGCAGAGGAGCCAATCTGAAGCTGCTTTGAAAAAAAGTATCCTGGGATCATAATATATCACTGACAGATCCTGCCCTGTTACAGAAGTATCTTCTTCAGTCGCGAGCTGTTGTACTGCAAATGCCACCTTCAAGACAATGGTTGAACATCAGAATTAAAGGAATAGTAGCTGCTTGTGGTTTGTAAACCAATTCATCCTGGATGTATGTCTTCTCTTGTGAAATGTTTTGCACACCTCTATTTTTGCAACCCAATAAATAAAATTTTCTATATGACAAAATAAAAGTGGAACTACCATACAGTACATTCTTATTGTTTCTGTGATAAATGCTAAGTCAGATCAGGACTGAGGAATATAAGCTGACTTTAAGTTAGATGAAATGCTATTTTATTTTCATTGATTGGTTTAAAAGATTTATATAACTGCTGAGCTCACACACACATGGATACACAAAGTAACTCTGGGAGGTGTACAAAAATAAACAAGATATAATAAACCTGCAAAACAACCAAAAAAAATCACAACAGCAAAGCATCCAATTGGGGAACCCCACTATATCTCACACCTTACAGGATATGCTCATCAATATCCTGGGTCCACCGCCTGAGGAACCATCCAGGTTTTCAAGCTTCCTAAGGTCAAGGCTAGTCAAACCTCAGGGGAATCCTCGTTCCATAGGGCAGGTGCCATAACAGAGAAGACCTACTTTGTAAGTTCCATCAGATTATACTGCTTTAAAAAAGGGACCTGGATCATGCCCCCTCTGTCGGAGTATGGGACATGGAAAGAAACAACTGGAGACAGATAGTCCCACAAATGTTATGAAATGGTGGTTAAACAAATCAACCAACCACCTCCTGGAATCCAAAGCTCTTGATAGTGAAACTGGAATAAAAACCAAGTACACAGAGCTGTCTTAAGCATTTATAGCCCTGTATAAGCACTCTTCTGCATCTACACTACCTAATAGGCTCCCTGTCTTTATGAAAGCCTAGGATATGTATTTTTTGAGGGAAACCAAAGTCTTTGCTCACACTTTTGCTCTAACAAAACTAGAACAGCAGTAAAAATTATACTACTTTAGAATGACCTAAAACTCTTTTCCATCACCATTACCATTCCACTGCTTTCTGCTTAATATTGTACAATAAGCAATCTATTCCCTTTCATAGTACATGAACCCACTTTACAGTTAACACCTGTTTTCTTGTTCCCAATAGGATTAGCACTGGGAAAACAGTATTTTGAAAAGTGGTCAGAGTGGGAAAGAAAAAATTTTGGTTCTATTCTTTCTGCTACTCAAACTCACGATCTTCTATAAAAGAGTGGAGTCTGAGGGGTACAACTCAACATTGTGTCAAAGGAACTCTAAGTGAGCATGTATTATCACAGTAAGAGATAACTTGGAGTTGATAGGAAAGATAAAGACTACAAGTGTGTCTGTGTGTAAATGCAGATCTGGCCTTGGGAAGTGGGAAGAAAGCAATGAAACATTAGAGAAAATAAATGGCATCTCAGCCCTGCGAAAGTGGAAAGAATGAGAAAGAAACTCAAAATAACATTGCCTTGATTTAGTTTAGAATAATATGGCTTTCAATGTTCTATTATTCTACCTTACAACTATAATGAACATTCCTGAAATCCAGGAATTCTGTTTCTTGACCTTGTCTCCCTCAAAGGGTTGATAGTCAGTGACAAATTCCCATCTCTTTTCTTAAATTTGGCTTCCAACATTCAACCCAACTATATTTAGATTCTGGATTTCTCCACTACAATCTATGTAGTATGGGCTCAATAGCAGTTCTCACTCAGATATACAGTGGTACCTTGGGTTACGAACGCCTCTGTTAACGAACTTTTCGGGTTACGACCAGCTCCAGCCGCAAAAATTTACCTCGATTTGCGAACTCCGCCTCGGGGTACGAGCAGGATACATGGCCATTTCCCCTCCTGTGACACGGTCCGCGGCCATTTTTCCGCCCCTGACACGTGGTCTGTGGCCATTTTTCCACCCCTGACACGTGGTCCCCAGCCATTTTCCGCCCCTGACACGTGGTTGTAGGGAGGGGGACTCTCCCTCCAAGCAATAGCCGC